ATTGCTTGCCCTGAGAAGCCAAGGGCAGAGCCCACAATCGATCCCAGACTCCCTGACCCCCTGGGCTCTGTTAGCCACAGTAATTACTTGGGGCAACACTGGCATTGCTAGGGAGACCTCAGGTTGAAAGCATCTTTAGGAGATGGACACGCACAGTTCTGCTCCATCCCTGTTAGAAATTTGCTTCATCTTGGCCAGCCCCTTGGGGCCCAGCCAGTTGGCAGTTAATGGTCATGCTGGAATTCGTGTCAATTGATTTTCCAGTTAACTTGACTTAACATGGCTGGAGGCATTAGAGCAGAGAGGATATATCCGTTGTTCCAGTTTGAATCCTGTAGACCTCATATTCCATTTCAATACAGTGGCAAATTTAGTTCCAATTAGAACAAACAGTTCCTTAAAATAAAGATTTAATGTAAAGATTCATCCAAGGCCTGATGTGAAGCCCATTGTGTGCAGGAGCTGTCCTCCCCACTGAAGGCTATAGGCTTTGGATCAGGGCCTGGAGGCAGCTCGCAATGTATGGGCAATTTAATAACAAGAGATGACTCACTATCAAGTGCTGTCTGCTTTACAAAGGAATCTCAGAAGTGGAATATCTGTGTGACAGAAATAAACCATTATTCACACACACACACACACAAAAAAGAGAGCGCCCATGAAAAACTACATCATCATTTCACTTGGGAGACTTAAGCGAGGTCCAATGAACGCTTAATCATGTGAGTAACTTTACTAATATGATTAGCTCACTAAAACCAAATCTGGAAAAATGGTTATGCCAAAGGGATTTGAGGCCTTTATCAGTTTGCCTGTCATTTCTGAGTGTCTAACAGTCCCAGCAGATCAGACACATTTATGTGCTGCCTGTCTTGAAATCCTAGTCGTGACCACAGCAGGCGTGGGCTGAGGCTGTGTCATGCAGCTGTAGGATTTCTACTACAGATGTTTCCCCACTTCTGATCATGTACAGCATGTCTAATGGGTCCCATGGATCCCATGCTTGTCTCCTAGAGGTGCTTTCCACCCATGGTCTCCCTAGCATGGCTCATATTCTGGCGTATGCAAAAAACCCCTGACAGAAATATGAGAGTCCTAGGGCAATGCTGTCCCTAAGGAGCTTTGAGCTTCTGTGTCCCTTTCTACGTACCACAGTCACTCCTGGTCTTGAGTTACTGGCTTTCTGGGTTGGTTTGTTGTTTGTAACAGCTCCTAGCACAACAGTTCCTGCTAGGATTCCCAGGAGCTACAAATAACAGCCAGTGACTTCCATGGGGTAGGCTAGTACTTGAAAGGGATACCTAGGGGCTATAAATCCTCTTTAATAGCCAGAAAAAGCTGGAAGAAGTGCTGAGCATTTCAGCTATATACACAGAAGCTATTTCTCTTGGTAACCTTTATATTTTCTGCAAGCATTCATGGGTTGGATGCATAGGGACACAGCACCGCCGTTAACAGAAAAAACTCATTTGGTAAGCCTTACTTAGATGTCAGGGTACTTTGAATTTTGAAGCTGAAATAAACAGATTGAAGTGACCCAACTGTTTATAATGCAAAGGTAAAACAAAGTAGGACTTTACAACTGAGGCCCCGGTGTCAGAACTTCATTTGATTTTCTCCGATGACTCAACCTATTTCACAAGCTGTTTTCATATTCCTTATTTAGTGAACTTACTCATGTCTCGGTAAAAGCCTACGATGTGATAAAGCCAAGGAACCGTAATGTGTGGTGCTGGTAACACCTCCCACGCCAAAAAAAATCCTGCTTCCATATTTATGTGGCTCTGCAAATTGGTTCCTGCCTTTTTCTCCCCAGAGAGTGAGCTGGCAGCGTGTCTTCTCTCCAATTAGCATGAAGCTGTGAAAAGTGGAGATGGAGGGTCAAATTCACCATGCCTGGACCCTCACTTATTTTTGCCATGTTACAGGCACATTTGCACCTTTGAATTCCCGGCAAGGCAAGTATTGTTTTTAGCATACAGATAGCAATGCCTGCAGAATACCTTGTTCATTCACGCTTTATCTGCTGAAAAAAGAAGCTTGCCACCAGAAAGCAAGAAGCTAAGAAGAGCTACCTACCTAGTGCTGCTCAGGGACTGGAGATGGGCACCTCAGGATAAACTCCCCATGGAGCAGGTATATTTTACCTGGGTTTTTCTGGTCAGGATATAATTTCTGCCTTTTGAAAAGTCCTTTAATCAGAGAAGCAGGAGAAGCCTTTGTAACCAGCATAGGCTGCAAATCACACCAGCAAATATATGGACTAAATGAACACATAGGGACACTTAAGGACAACATCCACCCATCCACTCCCACCCCAAGATCTCTTCACAATCTGATTTGCAACCATGTAAAGACATGTATTTTTTGTGGCAGTTTTCTGAAGAGTTTGTCTTGGAGGCAGAAAGGAAAATCAGCATGTGCAAAGCAGAGACAGGGGCTGAGCAACAGCACTCATGCTTGCAAGATAACTGCTCTTTGCAAGCCTAAAAGCAAGGGACAAAAAGCTACATGGCACAAGCCCTCTTCAGTCCCACACCAGGATCTGAAATGGCTCCTGAGTAACACCAAGGTGTCCAGGACGTAAGGGTACACCATCAGGATCATCAATGGAGACAGATGCTTACATCACAGGGCAGCCTCGAACCAGCACTTCCATGGGCAGCAGAACCTGTAAAATCCCCTTTTCTGTGACATTTCCTCTCATCTTCTTTGGATTCAGGTATCATAAGGGATAAGCTCTAATAAAAGTTTTGCCTAAGGGTACAGCATTCCTGGCATCTTTCCCTCACATTTTCTGATGTCTGAAAGCATCCTGCTGTAGCCTTCCCCTTGCTGTTACAGCTACATAACGTTTCTACTTTCCATCAGAACTTTGTTTTTGAGGTCCCTACTCCTCCACCAAGCTTAGCTGGCAGATGGACACAGGCACATTGAACCAGCCAGTCCAGCCCCCATCCTTCAGCTCTGACATTACCCATGCACCTGCACTGATCTGAACTTCCATCCCTAGGAGTAAACTACCCAAACCCAAGCCCATCTAGGCTATAAACCCCCCCTAAATCTTCCAGCCTACCCAGTCTGGTGAATTTGCTCAGCGCACAAGCCACAAAACATTGTCAGAGCTGTTCCTTTCCCTAAGGATGTAGGTAGCTGTTGTGTGCTGGTGTCTAGATGCAGAGAAGCAGAGTTCCTGCCCGTGCAGGTTCAAACTCACACATCTCCCAGGTAGGTGCCATTCTGATTTGTCACACCCACCTTCACACACTGGCGCTTGGGTCCCCAGCTCCTCCCTGCCCACGAGAGCAGCATGGCCAAGGAGGGAGGGAGCAAGAAGAGCACTTACTCTCACCTCAGAACCCTGCAGTCAAATGGCTGTGATGTCCGCTCAGAAAGGTGGGATCTGCCAAGCTGGTCAACACAGGAGCAGAGGTCTAGCTAATGACACAGAAAAGCAGGCACCAGCACAAGCATGGGACTGCATCCCTCTTGGAGTCAGCATTTACATCCCACTCTGCCCTGGATGCTGGGGCTTCCTTCTGCCTGATGTGAGTTGGGACCAGCCAAGCAGAGGGGAATGGTGCCCTGGGCAGGAGCACAAACCTCCTGGTTCCTGTGCCCAGGCATGACAACCCCTTTTCAGGCTTCCACAGGGCTCTGGCCCTTCCTTGCTTGCTGAATCCCAGCCCAACATCTCCCCCTGCCAACACTATCTAACAATGTGCTGTGCTAAAGCCCAGGATCAGAGCCCCTCTCTAAAAGCAGAGCAGCTGCCTTGCCTCTCTGCTAAATACCTGGCTCCTCAGCTGGGCCCATGATCTTTTCCAGCTGCTGTGGTCAAATCTGCCAAGGCCAGCAGTCCTTCTGTTAACCCCTTCAGCCCACAGCCTCATGCTCTGCAGGTTCCCATGGCAAATATCACCTCTGCAGATTTCAGCTTCCTCATCCTTGAGAAACAAAGCTGGTCATTCCCCCAGAAAGGGTTTTTATGCTGCTTTAATGAGAGCTGTTGGCTGCTCTGTTTCCATCTCTGTGGTCAGAATGCAGCCCCTCTTGGTAAGCCTACCAGCCTTTCTGCTTGAGGCAGCTTGTGGAGACTGAGAGATCTTTTCACTACAGCTGGCCATGGGCTTCCAGAGCAATCAGATCTCTCAGAATTAATTGACCAGCTCTTATGAGATCACCTGCCTCACCTCCCCAGCTGCTGGTTCCCATGTTCAGGTTTCCCAGAGCCCAAGCAGGACTGCTGCTGTGGCCCCTGACACAGGGAAGAAATCCAAGGCTCATTTCCAACGACAGCTTCTCACTGTCACACTTGCTTCCCTGGGGGTAAGAAGTTACAAATGGTTGAACTCCACAGAGCATAGATGCTTTTTAACTCAGACGCCTACCATAAATTTTTCATTAATTTGGAAAAGCAGATTATAAATTGCTGCAGTGGTGAGCCAGAAAGAGCCTAAAAACTTCCAGCTGTAAAGGTGTATGAAATGGCTCAGAGATGCTGGTGCTTCAAATTATTTTTTTTTCATTAAAAAAAAAGAAAATATGAGCATTTCCCATATGTCCTGGTCCCTGGTGTGACGCTCGTGGGTGGCCTGCATCACACCAGGAACCAGGGCCTGCAGCATCCCATGGCACATGCTTAGGAAGGAAGTGGGGGCCATGCCTAGTACAGATTTTCAAATTCAGCAAGATGGCAAATCTTATATAAAGCATGCATGAATCAAAACAGAAGTGCCTGCCTGGCTGCTGGGAAGTGACGCCACCGTGACTCATGTCATTCTGTTTAAAACAATCCTCCCCCTCACCTTCTCCTCAATGTAGAGATGCACCTTGGAAGCTTTCAGCAGAGTCCAGCGATGCTTACCCTCCTCTTCTACCTCCTTACACTACTTCTGGGCCATGGCATTTTTCTCAGGTGACCTCTTCTGCCACTGAAATCTGCCAAAGCATTTTTGCAGCTCATTCCAAGCACAAACAGCTTTCTTTTCCTTCTATTTTTTCCTTTATTAGTTTGTTTTTTGTTTTTTTTTTTTTTTACACTCCATAAAAACCATTGCAGATTTTCTTTCACATTCACGAGATCTCCTGGAAATTATTGCCATTTCCCATACACATTACATATTAAAAAAAAAATAAAAAGGTCAACAGACAAAGAGAGACACTCATTCCAAACTCCCTGCAGACACAGAAGCCAATGCGAGCAAGAGAGAAAAACTGATTTTTCATGGACAAAGGCTGGCTAGGGGTGACCACACACACACACTAAGCAAGCCACATAACACTGAACAAGACCACTTGACACACACGATACACATCGGGAACGCTTGGGAAGGGATGGAGAAAGAGTTGGCTTGGAGCTAAACTTGTCAGGTTTTTTTTGGTGTAAGATCCAGCAGTTACAGTGTTATCTGATGGGAAATAACTCAGATGAGGATTGTGGAGACATTCAAGTATTCTAGGGCTGTTCTTAAATAACAGATGTGAGGATAATAGCTCAGCAGGGTAGCCTAGTAGCTTCAGTTAAATCCCCTGCCTTAGTTAAAAGCACACCCAGTACAAAGGCAAATGCAGAAGTACAGGAAATGCCACACCTGAATGGATCCATGGTCTGGTTTGGTATCCAGTTACACTGTGGTCAATACCTGACACTTCAGAGGCTGGAACAGAAGAAGGGATTTTCACCTGGTTGTGCAAGTGTCCTGGGAAAAAGAGCTTCCTCCCGCCACCCCAGCGCTTTGCTCCCTGAAACGTGACATAGGAGAAGGGGAAGAGGAAAGCCAGAGAAAAAGCAGAATGAATATTCACTCCCACCACTTCTGTGGTTGCAAAGGTGGTGCTTTTCATTTTGCTTTCTCCCCTGCTGCTGCTGTTTATTGCTTGAAACTTTAAATAAGGGTCTTTTCAAAAATAAGAAGGGAAGGAGGTGGGAACTGAGAACATACTAAACAGATTTCTCGTTGCTCCCAGAGAATCTGGAAATACAGTAGTGGGTGCACACTCTGAGGATAAAAACCTAAAAAAAGCACTTTTTCTTTCTTTAAAAAAAGACAATAAAAGTTCAGAAAACCTGCCACACTTAGAGCACTTGCGTCTTACAGTCAGCATACAGCAAGTATGACCCACGACAACCACTCCCTCTCAGACTAAGTCGATGAGGTTTCTCTATTGCACGTTCATGAAATGTTCTTGTTGGGGTCACAGTTCAGATCAGACACCAGCTCCAATCTCCCCAGGATGTTCAGCAGGACGAAGATGCTGTCATTGGGCTGAGTTTCAGCTGGTGGACGGGAGAGTGGATGGGCACAGAACTCAACACTGAGGTAGGAAAGGCGAAACATGAGCCTTCAAAGTTTTTGCCTAATGTCAGTTCTTCTGCAAAGAAAGATGCAGCTTCTCTTTTGCACGAGGCAACAGGGGGACTGGGAGTGGAAGACAAGATCTCAGACTCATATTGTAGCAACTGGCCCATGAAACCAAAGTTTGGTGAGATCAGGCTCCGGCGCTGCTTGATGTAATCAAAGGCTTCCTCCAGGCAGAGCTTCTTTGTCTTCATGAGATATGCCATGCAGATGGTGGGAGAGCGTGAAATCCCTGCTTCACAGTGCACCAGGATCTTGCCCCCGGTTCGCCTGACATAATCTAGGGGAAAAAAAGTCATTGCAGATGTCAGTTTGTGGCGGGCGGAGGAAGCAAGCAGCCAATTCAGTGTGAATGATAGAGCAAGCTTCAACTTTATTGAAAGAGATCACACCTTATATAAGCACTCTACAATACACTACTTGTAACTGTATTGGATACATTTAAGAAACTACATTATAATGTCTCAGCCATTGGGTACATCTAAAAGGTCACATTATAATATCCCAGCCCCTTGTGGCATCTCTGGTATGCATAAACATCTTTCTTGCTGCGAACCTGCTTCCCTCCCAGGGCTGCCTTCCTCTCACCCCCAAGGTCATAATGTGCCCCAGCTTATCTCTTCGTTCTCACAACAGTCCTTGTTATCATCAATGTACGCTGGGTTCTTTCCTCTGTTTACCTCAGGTGGCTGGGACCGACTTCTGCAGGGAGCTATGGCCGACCAGCTCCTGCAGGGAGCTATGGCCTTGCTCTCTGCAAGCCGTTCTCCAACATCAGTTGTCATTGGGAATGGAGACGACACTGATGTGCACCTGGAGGTGGAGCATGGCACACAGCCAGTCCACCAGCAGGGAGAGGCTTGCTCTTCTGCTGGGCACTAAGGGTAACATGAAGATTAAAATAGAAGGGGGACAAAATCCAGCCTGAGGTGGAGATAACACTTGGTTTCAGAATCTGTGGGTCCTGATTTGGTTCTTTCTGTATTTTTTAGGAAACTCCTTCCCTGTCTCCTTCCCACATGCCTATTCCTCTTTTGGAACAACAGCCTTTGCAGAGCACTGAGACAGAGAACAGGTATCTGAGCAATTCTTGAGTTTGCTGTACCTGCATTTCTCTGCCTGTGGCTCAGAGTGCTGACCCAAGGCCAGCCCTCCCACTGTCAGGTCTTTCAAAAGCTGCAGGGCTGCCTTCTCATCTACTTTGCTAGAAAAACAGGACTTTTCTTTGAAGTCTGAACCTAACTCCCTGCTTGGCCAGTTAGCAGCAAACGGTGGTACCAGGGGCTGAACCCTTGGTGGGTACCCTTGGGTGGAGAGCCTGAGCTCACTCCCTGGGGCCTCACCACAAAGCACACAGGGACTGGTAGGCAGCTGCTAATTACAGCCTGGTTAAAGGATGCTTGGACTTAAGACAGGATATAAAAGGCTTATGCAAAGCACCCATTTTACACAACAGGAGCCACTGTGGTTACTCACACAACACAATGATTGTTATTAGATTAAAGAGAATGTGCTTAAAATAAGCCCTTTCCACACAAAAATACAGTTCAAAAATAGATGTTCTCTGCTCTATTGCCTTGAGCAATACATGCAAGCTCCAATTTATGGATAACTGCGCTGAGTGTAGTGCTCAGTGAAACAAGGCATAGCTGAGCAAGTTATCATTTGACTGTCTTCGATTGTCTGCTGGGGGACTGGTGCCACCACAACCAGTTATATTTAACTACTGCACAAAATAAGGAAGACATGGATTTGAGTCATCCCCAGCATCTACACCACACACTCAATTTTAAGAAAAAGTGAAAACTAAAGTCATACTCAAAATCTGGGAAACTTCCAAGTGACTCAACAACTATCAGAAGGGGTTGGGGATGGGACAGAAGAGTGCTGTGCATTAGCATTTCCCTGAAAGATGAGAAGTCCCTTACCAGGAAGGGGAAGGACTCACAGGGCACTCTCAGATCAAGTTTTTACAATTCTGCCTGCACTATCGAAGGACTCGATCTCAGCTGAGCAATGAGTCCAGCGAGTCTATAACTGGGGTTTGACTCTGTTTCTCTCTCGAATGTTCCTGGAGAGCAACAGCACTGATTTCAACACCATCTCCACCCCAGCTCAGGCTGCTCCACCCCACTAAACCACCCTCTGCCTCTCAGGAAGGAGCCGCTCCCTTGCACTACCTGGCACGGCTGACACCTGGTGTGCTGCTCATCTACCCAGCCTAGTGCAGGAAGATTTGGGAGGGGATGGCCCAAAGTTTTCTAAAGGCCTCCTCATATTTTTTGATTAAAGGGTGAGATGCCATCGTAATCAAAAGGAACTAGAAAGAGCTCTGTGATAAGTGGAGATGGTGGATTTCCAAGACCCTGGCTTTGGGATATCTCAGCACAATAAGGCAATAAGCTGACTCTGCTTCACCTGGCTGTTACAGGGTCTGGCATGCAAGTCCAAGGAACCAATATTTTTTTTTTTTCCTTTACAAAAAAATCAATAGACTTTGGTGTTATTCCGCCACACTTCTTTGTTTCCTGCTGTGTCAATGTTACACCTACACTTGCTTTGAAAAGAAGATAAGGCTAACCAGCTCACTTGCCTTGTCTGCCTGATGGCAGTCAAGAAAAAACATTTTTCTTCCTTGGCCTACCAGCCTGGAAAGAACAAAAACCTTGCTCTTGTTACTGTAAATTTAGTCTCCAAAAAAAACCTCTAAGACTTAGTTTGAAGTTTCAGAAGGCAAGCATTCTGTATTGCAGCACTGGATGCACAGGGGATCATTCCACCTAATGTGCATACCGGAAGCGAAGGGCACACTTATATACAACAAAAGAAATGAAAATTCATGTAATTTCTGAGTATATGCCTATTTCCAGAGAATCTAATGCATATGTTGATAAGTGTACAAAATTTTGGGGAAGGGTCCCTGAGGAGCTTCCACAGGTGTCTGCTGGTTTGTCTACCCTGTCCCAGATGTACCCATCACAGTTACAAAAGTTGTGTCCTTGGCACGCTCTGGCTTGAGGCCCCTTACAGCAATTAGCACCAACTGCTTGCAGGCATCAGCTAGCAAGCATCACTCCAGCTGTCCCTCTTCCTTCCTTCCTTGAGGAAATCCCTCTGCCAGGAGAGATGCTGGGGAAGGGAGGGAGCTTAAAATTTTGCTGTGACATCTGAGAACATATTTCTTCCCGCCAATATGTATGTTAAAATAAATTAAGATCTTTAAAATATATGAAGATCCAAGTTAAAAATACATGAAGATCTGGAAGTTTGTTAATTTGGACCTACCGATGAAGTCAATGGCTTCCTGGAAGTGTGAGCTGATGTCTGCTGTATGACTGTCCTCCACAGGGATCCACTTGTAGCAATACTGGTCTTTGAATGACTCTGAGCTTTTCCTGGAGACATTGAGCAGGGCTGTGATGTGCAGGTTGGCAAGAAATTCACACTTGGAAGCATGATAGGCACTACCAAGGTAGAGAAAAGGCAGGATTTCAACTGGACCGCCCTGGAAGAGAAGGAGCAGAAGCATGTAATTCCTTTTCAAGGGTATTTGAGTCCTGATACCCAAGAGAGGCAAGGGAGCCCTCGTGAGTGCCTTGGTCCCTCCCTCGCTGGCATTTTTGTACCCCAGTGCTGCTGGCCAGTGAATCACTGTGATGGCAAAGCCCACGCAGGGAAAAGGTTTTCATTTTCTTGCTCACATCTGCGAGGTACAAAGGCAGAACCAGCCCACTCGCATGCAGAATGTTTCTGGCTTTCTTTAAAGCCCCTCAGGATGCACCTGAAGTGCTTCCATATGTGAGGCTGTTCCCTCAGGCTTTACTGAAATACAGGTGAGGCAGGGAGGCATGTCCAATAAGGGAGGAAGAGGATGACGGAAGAGGAGGCTGCTTTAGCTCAGTTCCTTCACTTACCGACCTCCAAAGGTGAAGGAAAGCAAAAAAAATTGGAGCAAGGCTCCCCTGTCCCCCTGCACCTCCTTGGGGTGCAGCACCCGCCACATCACCTGCACCAAGATGTCATCTCGGTTCCTCCTCCCCCAGCGCAAGCAAAGGCTGGGTGACGAGACCACAAAAGAAAAAAGCCACCATCTGACACAAAGGTTTTTGAGGGTAAGTTTCCATGATGCACAAGAGCTGCTGCCAGCCCCCAGCTGTGAAAAATTGGCTTTCCAACCCCCCAAGCTGCCCACCTGGCAGATCCCACGTACCAGGGACAGCCAGGAGCTGCCTGGAGTGGCAGGATGGAGCCTTAGGCAGGAGGCGCTCCCAGGGGAGCAGAGGGGCATCACCGGGGGGCTCCCCCAGCGCCAGGAAACACGCACCCCCGGCGGAAGCAGCCTGACCACAGGCTGACATCTCAGAGCACACATATTCCCTGGGCCAGACAGGCATGGGGGTGTGATGACTTTGCCTGTGGAAAACCCCAGTCCTCCTGCCCAAGGGTAGCTCTGAAGAGCCACTGCCTCTTCTCAGAAGTAGCCCCACAGCCACGGCCCCCTCTGCCAGCCTCAGATCCCTCCTGGGGTTTCAGAGGGGGCACAGGCAAAGCATGCTCCGTCTGCTGGAAAACTTACACTCCTGGCAGCCTCTCCCCTGCCTGCTTTAAGTCTCCTGGGGAGGTACAAGTTGCTCATGGCTCATGCTGCCTGGCTGTGTGATAAAGACAGGTCACAAATACAGTTTTGAGGCTAGACAGGGTGCTTTTTCTCCTTCTGTTGCCTAATTTTGAAATTAGGTGGAGGCGATGCTGACCAACAGCACGCACATGACATCCTATTTGACACACAGGCTGCTAACCCGGACTGTAACAACTTATTGACAGCACGAGGGCCACCAGCACCCTGCCAGCCTGCAACAGAGCCCGGGGGCAGGAGGGAAAAGCCCCAAGGGAAAGGTCACCCACCAGAGCCGTGACACACACCTGGTCATACGCGGGTTTGTGGTTGGCACTCTGCTTCTCACAGTGGCTGGTGAGGTTTCTCTCTGCCTCAGTCCTCTCTGGGGAAAGGAGTTTTCCATCCACACAGCACTCAGGATATTGTGAGTTAAAGGTTTCATATCCCCCTAGGGAAGGGAAAAAAAACCCAAACCATCAATGTTTTTGCTTCCTAAAACTGGTTTAATTAAAGTGGAGGAGAAATTAAGCCCCAGCGATTGCAATGCAGTGGGATAGTGCCACACAGCAATGGGCCCCAGGGGGTTAATGGGGGACAGTGCTCCCCTGGGAAATGGGTTTGATACCACTGAAAATTATTAACTTGCCAAAAGTCGGTGGATCAAGATTAAAACTCTTAGCAAACGTAATTCTGTTGAGTCTAGCAACCATTAACTCCAGTACAGCAGGGACTAAACTCCCTCCTCCAGGTTTTATATACGAGCACTATTTCCAGCATTTGACACAGATTTCCGACTCAGGCGTCATCCTCTCTAAATGTGTCATTACTCTATATTCTGTGACAACAGAAGAATTTTTTTTTTTAATTTTTGAATGGACATAAGCACAAGAGGGGGATGCTTGCAACTGTCATTAATCACCACAATGCACGAGACAGCAAAGTAAGGAAGGCAGTCCCACTGAAACCAATCTATTAAGTTACAGCTATAAAACTCAATGAAATCCTGTGACAGCATTTGACAACTGAATAGCCCCACATGAGCTATTCTGCATGGTTAAGTACTGCATTTGTTTCATTCATTGCACTGCTAATGAAAAGGAATTAATCCTATTATTACATTGTTACTCAAAGTTTGTTGTCAGCTAATTGTTGCCTGTTTCCAGGTTGGGAATATGCTGCACGGAAGTATACGATCTCCAGACTGAACGTGAATAAGTCGGGTAGCAGAAGCAGCCTGAAAACGTCAGTGGTGTGCCACATGTCTGCCACCTGTGCTTTTTCAGAACAGAAATGAATGGCGAAAGCTCTTGAACAGCTAGATTCAATAACCCTGCAGAGTGTGGCCCTCAAGTAAACAAGGCTCGGAAAGCAAACCCTCCGATGCGATTCATTCACCTGCAACTGTTTCGCCCTGATAAGCTGTGATAAGAGGTATCGGTGCCCTGGTGCAAGGAAGGATTTTGAAACAAAGGAAGCGCTGAGGATCTGAGCAGCCGCAGGGCTCCTGCCGCCCTCGCTGCCAGGGCTGCCCACTACAGCTACCTCTGACATTTCAGCCCTGTAGCACCGGTGTCTCATTTGTTTGCAATGTTTGAGCAGATGTGTGTTCAAATTCATGACGTGCTACTGTCGCCCACTCAGTCCTGCCATGGGGTCCTCGAGTTGCAAGCGGCCGGCATGATCCAAAGCCCACCAAACATGATGAAAGCCTGTTTTCCATGACGGAGGGCAGGAGGGTGATTTTGCAGTCAACGGGCACTCAGCACCTGCACCTTTCCTCCTACTCCCTGGGCCCCAGCCACATTCAGCCAGCTCACCCTGGAGCTCGGAGTGTGAGGCAGTGGGTCAAGCAGCCAAGTGACCATGGAGACCATGAGGGGGGGGTGTGATAAAGTGATATCCACAACAACTGGGTTGATAAAATGATATCCCTAACAACTGGCAGTGTGAAAAGCCAACACACATAAGCAGCTCTCCAGACTCCTCTGATCTTCTGATCTCCAACTGCCCTTCATGGGATGGACTTTTAAATCCTCTTGTTTTGCATAGCTGACCTTATCTCCCCCCTGCCCCCAACCACTGCCATCGCATAGGAAAAATATGTTCCGTTTACATTAATAGGCATTATCTCAATTTACACCCCAGGTTGTTCTTTTTTACTCTTGAATGAACACAGAAATCTGTCTGAGCCAAGTCAGCATGTGTGTTTGAACAGACATGCATGTCTCATGTCTCTGGGGCAGCTAAGGCATGCAGCTGGTGAATGGTTAATTACAAGCCTTGGGGATCAGGATATTTGCAGGCCATTCTTACAATGAGTCATCTTCTCATCCCTTCCTCCAGCAATCTCCTCTCTTCCCCCTCCCCATTCAACCTAGCTTCCCTGAGGTCATTTCTGCAAATACTAGATTGCTCATCAGAGAGGTGGGCTGCGCTTCGGTTTTAATCAATAAATAATAGAATCCTTGTCAGCACCAAGGGAGGTTCCGTTATTTTATCTTTCTGCAAGCTCTTCCCCACCGTGCTGGGGCTGAGCTCAGAATGAAACCGCACCTACACAGACAAAAGATGTGACACATGCCACCCCTGGAAGCCAGAAAGTGAGGGAAGGAATGGGGTCTGGCATGCAATTTGACTTGCAATTGCTTTGTGCTAGCTGCCCTGTCTGGGGCCAGATCCCCAGGACACTGGGTGACCTGGGGGGTGGGGGTAACCTGCTCACATCTTATCAGGGCAGCTTCCTGCAACCCAAAGCCCTTCCAGCAAAGGGGAACAGCAGCAGAAAAAGGAGGAAACTTGGGTTGCAGGATCAGGCCCATGAAGTCCGCAGCTCTGTTTCAGATCTGGTGTGGCCTGAGGAGCCAGTGACTCAGTGGGCAGCGCTGCTGATTCACCGGGGCCACTGACCCCCAGGAAGCTGTTGTGGTCTGGAGGAAGCTCTCGGACAGTGGGGATATAAATCACCCTGAAGCACTGGGTACTGATCACAATAAAGTGTCCTTTGGGGGTCTGTAGCACTGACCTTGCAAATAATGGGCTGTAAAAACATCCGAAAAAAAATCCTCCTTGAGGTTCCCTTATAGCCCTGTTCTCCCTAGGTGTGGGGGAGCTGGGAGGAGGTGTTGACTACTTAAGGGCTAAAGTGGTCTTGCCTTGGAAGCTGCCCTGATAAGATGTGAGCAGGTTACCCCCACCCCCCAGGTCACCCAGTGTCCTGGGGATCTGGCCCCAGACAGGGCAGCTAGCACAAAGCAATTGCAAGTCAAATTGCATGCCAGACCCCATTCCTTCCCTCACTTTCTGGCTTCCAGGGGTGGCATGTGTCACATCTTTTGTCTGTGTAGGTGCGGTTTCATTCTGAGCTCAGCCCCAGCACGGTGGGGAAGAGCTTGCAGAAAGATAAAATAACGGAACCTCCCTTGGTGCTGACAAGGATTCTATTATTTATTGATTAAAACCGAAGCGCAGCCCACCTCTCTGATGAGCAATCTAGTATTTGCAGAAATGACCTCAGGGAAGCTAGGTTGAATGGGGAGGGGGAAGAGAGGAGATTGCTGGAGGAAGGGATGAGAAGATGACTCATTGTAAGAATGGCCTGCAAATATCCTGATCCCCAAGGCTTGTAATTAACCATTCACCAGCTGCATGCCTTAGCTGCCCCAGAGACATGAGACATGCATGTCTGTTCAAACACACATGCTGACTTGGCTCAGACAGATTTCTGTGTTCATTCAAGAGTAAAAAAGAACAACCTGGGGTGTAAATTGAGATAATGCCTATTAATGTAAACGGAACATATTTTTCCTATGCGATGGCAGTGGTTGGGGGCAGGGGGGAGATAAGGTCAGCTATGCAAAACAAGAGGATTTAAAAGTCCATCCCATGAAGGGCAGTTGGAGATCAGAAGATCAGAGGAGTCTGGAGAGCTGCTTATGTGTGTTGGCTTTTCACACTGCCAGTTGTTAGGGATATCATTTTATCAACCCAGTTGTTGTGGATATCACTTTATCACACCCCCCCCTCATGGTCTCCATGGTCACTTGGCTGCTTGACCCAC